AAACAATGTCTGGATTATCATACGAGAAAGGAGACGCAATTCATGGCCATCCTCTAATCCTGCAAGAGCTTCTGTTCTTGTCAACAGTGGGGTCACAGTCTCGTAGGACTTGAGGTGTTGACCTCATAAGGGAGTTAGTTAAAACTATTTCAACAGGATATATAAAGGCATCGTAAAATGAAAGTAATACGAACCCCTTGGTTTAGTGTTAAAGGTGGGACTCCATGTTTCTCTCGGTATTCATTGTGTGCCTTAAGACATTCTTCTGCAAAATCACCTTGATCACTTGTTGTCATTCTCTGGCATTGATTTTGTCTTGGACAGAATGAATTTGCCTTCATTTTTTAGATAGAAATAAAAAAATATTTTTATTTATAACATCATGAAATGATCTAAATATAAATGTTTATCATCCCTAATTTGTACTTAGCACGCATCTGTTTCAAACGTGATTTGAGCTGGAATGGCTACTCTGACAATTCTTTATTTAGCATCCATTAACTTCATTAAGAAAATACTTGAAACGTACATTGAAGAAACACAAAATTGTTTTCTCTCAAATTTTATCACGCTATCATAAAATTCCGAATTTTGTCATTATATACCTAAGCCCATAACTTTAAAAGTTGCATTAAGTCACCCAAAATCTAAGAAAACTACTGTTTCCCGGGTGACAGTCTCAAACTTTGGCTCCTACGAAGAGTTAAAATACATTACATAACTTGAAAATGTTGTAACAATAAATTGTGGTAAAAATTATATAAGAACTTTTAATTGCCCACCAAAAATTATGGAAATATCTAATGTACTCAACTCACAGCCATGAATGTTTTCCTGTAAGGTCCAGACTCGCTGAAGAACAGACGATCACCAACTAAACATTTTTCTGTTATATAGACACATATACGTTTGCTGGTAAACACTTCAAAATATGATAAAATAATGATAAGAACAGTCCATAAGGTTACAGATTAAGTACTAATATTACCTTCTTGAGTGCCATGACAGTAACCCAGAATTGTCGAAGACCGCTGTCCCCTCTCGAAACCTTCAGAAGACAATTGCCACGTTGTCCTAAGAACAGATAATTTGTCGTATGCACCATTCCTCTTCTGTCACACTACAGAATATCTGGAGTCGAGGCATTATCATTAAGCGAAGAGGAAACAGTGGTCATTTTCGGTATCCCGTTTTGCCCAAGATTCCACCAACGTCACATAAACCTTCATCTGCGAATCCAAACCAAAAAACGGGTATCAATTAGTTAAGAGGCTGGGTTGAATCAGCGGCTAGAGGTAAAAATCCTCTGTCCTCGTCGGGGATCGAACCACAGTCGTCCATCTAGTAGCCAGTAAATAATAATTTTTAAAATGAGACAGTAATATCAGATACGAAGAGTGATTGGCGTATCTCCGTTGTACGATAGGTCCAAAGTCCAGCGTCCAACTTTACAACGTGATCATGACTGACAAGGGAATGGACCCTTGTAAGACTTAAGTCTTAAAATCATGTCTAAATTGCATAATCACATTTGTACAAACGTCTTAAGAATCAGTAAACCTGATTTCGTGAAGATGTTTAAGAAAACTGCAAAAGTTTTCTGAAAACTTAACTTTACAATACTTAGAGCCCTTAACCCTGGCTGACATTGGAGAAATGTTAATTCGTATACTGAACACGTGTTATTTGTGTCGTTTATATCTCAGCTGCAGTCTCATGGTTTTGGTTTCAATCGAAGACGTGTCAAATTCATCAGGAACTTTTCATTGCCTTTCAGTTCTCCTATACTTCAGCTCTGTTCTTCTCATTAACCGGAAGTCCATAATAACCATCGGTTTAAAAACTCTTACTTAATGTCCAATTCAGAAAATTCCTATTGAAAATGGTTGTATCATGTCGGTGATACCAAATTCCTAAATAATTTCATTTCTCCTTTTTACAAAATATTCTAGAACTACAGTCAATTCATTTGTCTAGTTCTGAAGTATGGTCAGAATCCCTAAGGCATTCAAACTGACCATAAAAATATAACCTACATGAGACGTATTAAATTACTCTTTTCGCTGTAATTCGCCCTTGGTGTCAGACCTCTCAAATTCTAAGTGTCTGAAAACGGAATAGTAGAAGATGAACTTGTCCCTGCTTAAAATATCAGAAGTTTACGGAATAAATTTCAGGTGCCATTATAACTCCCCGTCCGTCGTACCGTCTTAATTCAGTCACCTGAAAACTCCGTTCGTCACAGACTACACAAAAGTTATTTTCACCTGAACCAATTTCCTGCATCTCCCACAAAACGAGGACCTCGTACTTCGATTTATTCCCACGGGACAATCTCATCCATCGCTCACCTGACAGCAGACACACGAATCATTTCCGTGTAACTGACACAAATGGCAGCCGAAGACAGTCCTTACGCGTTGCATATTCTTTGTCCTTCCATCAGCATTCAAACAGAACGACGACCTTTAGGGCCTCGCATTCAGAATTCACGTTCTCACGGAAAATGACTGCCTCTTCAGTTGTAAAGACGCGTAGTCTACCAGAAGTCTATCGACGTTTTAGATGTACTTGTTGTCTCCATCATCATCGTCCTGATAATGGAGGCAGCAAGCACCTCTGAAACGTCGATAGACTTCTACCACGCTGCACTGCTCGACAACCCATAAGCTTTCCATTTTAATCTTCAGAAGTTTATTGTCAATATTTTATTTTAATTTGTGAAAGGAAATTCTTTACTATTTACTGACTTTTTGAAAAGGGCTGTTGAAATTCGACAAAGAATAATTTGAACTCCTTTGTATCTTCTTCTCATTTGGGGGTAAACTACGTTAAAAGCTGCCTAATGTAAGCAGCGCTTGTAAAACAGAAAATTCTGTCGTCACTTGGAACTAAATCAATCCTGCAAAATCGAATGCGTTATCGTAATAAGTATTCTGTTGAACGCAATTTGTATTATTTTCATCACTATAAAATACATCATTTATACAACCGAGTGGGACGTAAACTTACCTTTAGGGTTACGACGGGCCCACAAAGGCAGTGTAGACGATTATTCATTCTTTTTGTACTGATAAGAAAAATAAAAGATATCTGTACATAAAAGGTTCAATTATGACTGTACAGCCAATGAACGTCTGGACCCAAGGCGTAGGTTAAGACGACGACATATGTGGAAACTGCTTCGGAAGACCGTTTGATACAAAGATACGTGCCTGATGACGAACCTCGTGACGCCGAAACATGTAGCGCAAGTGTGATTAGAATTGTAATTGTGTTCACGGTAATAGATTCAGTAAGACGCGATAAACAGAAAGTATTGTGCAATATAAGACCTGGTATTCAGCTAAGCTCTTGCGAAATATAAAGCATAATCCTGAAGTAAAATGTGTCGCAACAGCCCCTGAGGGTGTGATGACCAGCGATACGGCTTTACCGGGTCATCACGTGGTCAGGGCATCGACTCCCATCGCCGTCTTTCTGGCTTTCGTAACCAGAGTCCTCTGTCCTTTCACAAGTGCTCTTCATTTCACATCACGAATCTTGGGGCCCCGATAGATGGACAAAAGTTTGATATTTTTAATTAGAAATGGTAATATAATTTTGTCATTGGTTGCCACTTTATAAACATGTTAATACTCAACTTTATAAAGCAAAATGGCGAGAACAATTTGTTTAAAAATTATATATTACAGTTCTTACAGTTGCACTATTTGTCGATAGATAGTACGGTTATCTGGTCCACCGAAACATAATCTTCTGCACTTTGATCAACACACAATCTTAAACGAGTTGACGAAAGTCTATAGCTGGATATTATCTAATTATCATTAAATTAATGAACTTTTAACCAAGAGATTTTTCAGTATTAATAATATGAAATATTCTTTTCATCATTTTAATATTCAACGAATCTACATAACAAGACGTGTATTTCAAAAGAAACATAGAGTACATAATACATAGCATATCTTATACAAATACTACGAATTTCTACCAATGGTAACTACAATCATATTACATATTACAGAACGTCAGTCTATGTAATATAAATTTTCTTACCGTATGAGCAAACACATTTTATTAGCTTAGGGCATTTTTTCTTCTGAAATATGATAATGTACGTGGTTCTGTCGGCTTTTACGTGATTTGGAAATTAATTTGTGACTGACGACATTAAAATCAGATGTCAGTCAGCAAACTTCTTACGTGCACTGAGACACAGAACGGAGAAGGTCATATTTAAATCATTATTCTTAAATGTACCTAAGAGCTTATTATATTTGTTGTATATTAACGTGACTTTCATATTCTTAAATGCTTAACTATATCATTTTTCTTACATTTTACTTACAGTCATTTCAAAACTTTGGAAATTTATCAGGTACATCTTTGCTGGAATTTTGAGCAGATTGCAATTCCAGATTCAAACATTTAATTTGTAAAAGATATTTAGTGTTACGTTACAACAGAAATAATTACAATGTTAGAAGTGACGAGTTTATTAAAATTGGATTGGTTGAATATTCTAAGTTCAGCTTGAAGTATGTATAAAACTTCGAGAGCCTAACAAAACCATCTCTTCATTAATTCTTATATATAAGACAAGTCTCAAAATATATTATAACCAGTAGCAACAGCGGACTTAAACCATTTGACGGGGCTGATCGCCCAAGATTGAGACTGAAAACTCATATACAAAAGCTGAACAGCCAGACTTTCCCAGACATAATCAAGAATATTTCACATCTTCCTTCTAAGAAAAATGTTCAGCGTGTTTCATACGTTGCGACTCCGGACTGACATCAAGACTGGAAAAACTTTATGTGGAAACTGAGATGAAATTTTAACTGAACTTAAACGAAATATTCTTTAAAGAAACTACGTACACAATTTGATGTACGTTTTATACTCACGGTGCAGGTTAAAATTACACGAGGATCTTATTTTTCAATTTGTACACGGAAAACGTATTGTTTAATTAATTTTTCAAAACACTTACTTTTATTCCAAAGAACATACGTTGAAATACTCACTCGCTCTAAGGTACAGGAAATTTTTGAAAAGACGATTGTATACTCAGCTTGTCAAAGAATATCACACTTTCTTTATGGAACCCTGAGGTTCATCACCATGTTCACAAAATCCCACCAGTGGAATCTATCCTGAGCTACCTGCATCGATTCCTGTCTCCGTAAGGTTCGTCTTAATATTATCCTCCCACCTATGCCTATGACTTCCCCGCGATACTAGACAGAAAAATCTTATCTCCATGTTTCAGACTGAAGTTGGTAATATTTTCGATAATTTTATAAGCTAAGTAAGTACATAAGAACTCAGTTCCAAGTTAACGTAACAGCTAAGAAAATTTTCTGTTATTAAGACAAAATATTTTGGGCTGTGACGGATTAAATATTACGTAGAACAAAACCTTGCTAGGTATTGTATTAAAATCATCGTCTGACAAACTTTTCACAAACAAAATGTCTGTAGTCGAAGTATTACAGAATCTGTAGTGCCAATACTAGATATTTTTTGCATTCAGAGCTAACTTCCTTTTATAACATGAAAATGATAGATTTTTCACTTTGACATGAAAAAGTATAAATGACTCTGTGATGCCTCTGTTTACCAAATACTATTTATAAATGTTAATTTCCACTTCAGTTCATGTAATATGCACTGTAAATTCCGTTATTACTGCTAACAATGTTGTGTTTCTCTATCAGTTGCCCGAGATATTCGTGCCTGCATTTAAAATGTACAAAATATTTAATCGTAATTTATATTTATGTTGGACGTCTGTTAAACCATTGAAGCCTAAACTCATCTGAATATTATTTAAGAATTCAGTCTCCACCTCAAAGAAAACACAACATTTCTCTATTACAAAAATAAACTTAAACCATTAAAATTCATACCAAACTCATGAATACAAAATGCAGAGTTACTGATTGTTAAAGCAGGTGGTACATATAATTACCACCGAGCTTTAAAAGGTTAACAAATGTGGAATGTTTTAGTCAGAAATCAGACTATAATATTCCAACAAGTGAAAAGTGTTTTCTGCAATACTCATTCAAACTGGTTTAATTTGTAGAATCGTAAATTTATAAAACTGACTTACAGCATGGCATGTTTCGTGTAGGAACGGTATTTGTGAATTTTTCGTGTAGGAATGAAATTTGTGAATTCAAAAACACACTGGTATCTTAGACCAAAATGGAAATTAACCATCAGGCTTGCAGTTGTAGGCCAGTAGCTGCCGCCATGAACCTATATCCTGTAGGAGAGGTTTCTGAGCCGTGCATTTAATCCCTTACTAAGTAAGGTATAAGATTAATCAAAGGTCCACACGAGACCCCATTTGACAGGAATATATTAAAGATTGTTAGATACATGTGCGTACTGCATTTTGCTAAATAATTTCCTGAAATAAATGATCACTGTTCAAATATATAAAAATAATATGCCATAAATTGAGAAGCTTTTCCGTTCACCACCAATTAAACATGTAAAAACATATGGATATGAGTGAAAGTTACGTGTTTATAGGATAGTATATTGAAAAACCCGCTATTGGGAAGAGTTTATTGTATCTGATATTTGGGATTTTCTATTTTCCAACTTCATATAATCACGCAAGTTAATAGTGTAATTACACAACCTATCGGCAAAGATTTGTCTCCAGTTATTTCCTCATTAATGAACTTAAAAATATAGTTTGAAGAAACTAAAAGCGTGTTCATTCAAATCACAAAAACTAAACATTTATTAATCTTAAAACTTTGCATAGCTTGTAGTGCATCAGAATATAGAATAATCAAACAAACTATTAACACTATAAATGACACTAGTGCCATCTGATTTCTTTCGTTCCATTTTAAATGTTCTTTTATCCTACGCCAGACTTAAGCCTCTCAGCCATTAGTCTATTTTTGACAGCCCAATACAGATTTGAATCGGCGATAAGACCACTAAAATTTTCCATAGTATTAATTCAATTCTAAAGGATCTTCATTTTCCACCGCCAAGATTCAAGGGATATATTATTTTATTTATTTTGTTTACGAGAAGACCACAGTAGAAAGGAAATCTGTGCATTTTACAGTAAAGCCCAGATTAAGACCAGACGTCAGTTTGTGCAAAAATGCGGACGTCCTTAATAAATATCGCAATATGAATCTTCCTGAGTCTTACGCAGTTTTCTTCAGTCTTAATAATATCACAGAATGTCTGGTAAAGTCTGTTCTTGACTCCGCATTAAGTACGTGGCAATTCTTTTCTGTTGCGACTGGTTTCGGCAGAGTTTTGAGATTGATTTCAGCTACCAAAGACCCATAGAGGGAACCCAGAATTTCCCACTGGTTGCGACAAAGCGGGGAATGTACTGATACGGTGAACATCCAAATTTACGAAATTTATATTGTAAAGTCTGTAAAAGATCATAATTTACTTTACCTTATAAGGCAATTACGTGTGGAAATTCCTTAAAAGTTATCCATTTTATGAGTTTACAGCAGTGATAGATTCTTTTCATGTGCAAGAAATCTTATTTTTCAAATTTGACGAGACTCGTAAACAGAATGTTCCTAAGTACATTAGGCCTAATGTAGCTTACCAATTTACTGTTTATAGGCTTCATTGCAAATTATTTTCACTTGGAAACAATTCTTCCTTGAATTCAACACAAAATTAGAATGACTTAAAACCTTAATATTCATTAATATAATTTAACAATTTTACGGAATGAAATACGGGAATGTAAGCTTGGAGGAATGCTAATATACTTTGTTTCTCACAAGAAAAAAAAAAGGTATAATTAAGATATTAAGCTCTTTCAAAGGCTACGGGGAAACCATTTCTAATACCTGCTATAACATTTTTGATTCATACTATAAATAATATTAAATCAGACTTAAAAATGTATACGCAGAATAATTCTGATTTGTTATAAAATGTCGTACAATCGACCCATTTTGAAATGCTATTTTGGCGATACCGCAAAATCTATAAATAATAAGTAGTAAATAGTTTACAGTATCTACTGTAATATTTGTTTTGTTATATTCACAGTAAAAATGAACATTAACTTCAACTTGCGCGTGAAATTGCGAACAGCTGAAACTGGTAACTGTCGCCAGGTCACAGAATTTGCGGGGTCAATGATAACCCTGCATGATACATTACATAACAGCCCGTCATCGTATCCTTATTATAAATAATACTTCCATCTTTTACCAGTTCTAATTATTGTAGACTAAATGTATCATCTGCGCTAAACAGTCCTTACGAATCGGTTTAATTTATTTGGTAAACAAATGACTATATGATTAAGTATCATGTTTCATAATACACTTAGCATAAAATTATATATATAAAAAAAACTAAGAACAGCTGACAGATGTTTTGAAACACGTAAACGATAAATGACCGCCATTTCAGCGCGGTCTTGGAACATTCACTGCGAACTGTCCGATGTAATTTCCTCTTGGGTTATAGTTTGCGACAATCAGAACTCTGCCATTCTTACTCCTAGCTAATCCCATTCCAAGTTCCTGGCTATTTTTCCAGATCATTTGGGTGAAGTGACCTGAAAAATGAAACACATAATTTTTGTAATGACGACAAGCTCTGAGACCAATCTAAAGGAAAAGAATTCAGAGCGTAGAAACACCATCGATGAAAGTAACACCTTTTGGAATTTAATCTAAGACACATCACAGAGACGTCCAGAGACACCTAAGTAGGATTTAAGGTTTCACAGCAGCGAGTCTGACGATGGCAGTCTTCTGGGTTGTTACGTCATGCAGTCTGGAAGAAGTTTACCGACGTTTCGGAGGTCCTTGCTGCCTCCATTATCAGGGACGTTTCCACACACGTGGCCTACTTATTGCCCTGATGATGGAGACAGCAAGGACCTCCGAAACGTCGGTAAACTTCTTCCAGACTGCATGACGTAACAACCCAGAAGACTGCCATCGTCAGAAAGATATTTTCGATGTACAAGTGGCTTAAGCTAGAAGCACAGAGATAGAATGTTGCGTTCTACACGTACTCAGTTTTGATACGCTGTTCCATCTCCCTCTGTAAGAAGTAAACACTAGTAAATTGTAGTTTCGTAGATCGAGATGTATCTTTGACGTGTTAAATACCTGATTTCAGTACGCGTGGCTCGGATCCAAACGCGAAATCTTTGATTTCTCTGTACCAACTCTGGCAGGCGTCCTTGGCGGTCACTCTTTGCTGTGGATCTGAAGACCACATGCAATAGATGTTCTCTCCGTATTTCCCATCAGGTCGATGGCCAAATCTGTCTTCCCGTGCTAGTATCTTAGCCCACTCTTTCGCGTAACTACAGAGCTGTCCATCAACGACAAAGAAGAAATTACATTAGATGGCCATGTTGAAATAACAAAAGAATGTTTAATTAATTATTCTTGTCCGTCTAATCACAATTTAAAATTTAAAATTAAAATTAAGATAATTAAAATATCATGTGATGTTCCTATCGAAACATTCGATTTACATTTAGAACATCTTTTTCTTACTACATGTTTCGGTTCTTAAATGAACCATCTTCAGGTGTATAAAAATTAATTAAAATTATATAAACTTAAAACTTAATCGTAATTTCTTATATGCAACTTTTTTTATAGTTGTTTATCAGTTAATAGTGATGTTCACTTCCAGATTTGTTGTTGGTCACGAATTATTTCACAAAACTCATCATCTATGCACATTTGGTATTTGGGAAATTACTTCCGATATGATTTTATCGTCTTTGTTCTCCTGTAGGTTCGGAGAGATGAAAAACTTTCCTTCCCCTCAATAAAAATTATCACGCGAATACGTATAGAATTTTAAAATGTACTGTCAATACAAATAGTTGTGCAAAATTACTTAAACACGGATGTTTTTAGTCATTTATCTTACCGACTTGCTGAGTTTTAAATCCGGTACTCCGTGTTTCCTCCGGTACTCATTATGGATTCGAACGCCTTCTTCGGCAAATTCGTCTTCGATGCAGTTCGCGTCATCGTCAGATATATTTCCCGGGCTCATCTTCTTTGTAATGTCATTTTTACTTTGGCTTGAAGTAACAAATCCACTGTAAGAAGTTGAAATATAAATTGAAATCATATTTAGAATTATTAAAGTCATGATTTCTGTAGTCAGAGTCGTGAACATTTCCTACGGCTTCAAGCGAAGACTGCGCACTGAATTTTTGTAATGGTATGACGACTCCAAGGAAGATAATAAGAAATGAAAGTAAAATTTTGAAATTATTATACAGCACACACCCGTTCATAAAAACATCTTGAACCAGTATCATTCTTGCAATTATTTTGTTTTATCAGTTACAGTTTCAAAATTTAATATATCCGTAAATGATTACGAAATTCACAAAGTACAATAGTGTTCATAGATATTATACTTGTTCTTTAAGCTGAAAGAGAATGTTTATTTCCTCCAAAAAATTTAAAGAGGCGAAAACAATTGAAAATTAAAAAAAAATACAGGGCAGTATGCGCAAAATACTGGTACATACGTAACTTTTATTGCGAATTACATTTTGCAACGTACCTTTAACAAAAATGTTTTCATGATGTGAAAAATTTACTAGATAATGTTTTCTGGGAGAGACTTGAATGCATTATGCGAGAGAGGTGTCATATCATAATAAGTGATGTTCGCGATTGAATTACGAGCTGCTAAAATTTATTATTTTTCATATTTCATAATGTGTTACTGAATTGATCCTTCTAAATTTGCCTTCGTCTCATACGTACCCAAGAGGTGGTACATTTTCAGCAAAACTGCCAATGAAATTTCCTGGTGGAGAATAATTTGCTACGACAAATATTTGCCCACTGCGACTTTTTGCAAATGCAACTCCTAGTTCTTTGCTGTCCCGCCAGACAACCTGGCTGAAATGACCTGAAATCATACGGCAAACACCAGTCCAGTAAATAACTTCATAATTATTAAAATCAAAAGCTTTTACTTTTAACGTCATAATAGAATATGACATATTTAAGAAAACTAAAATTTGGAAAAGTCTTTGATGACAGACCGACTCACGGAAGAAATACAAATTAAATATTACTGGTGGCATTTAAGAATGGGTACCTTAAAAGCTAAGTAACATTATGGAAAAGGAAAAAAAATATTCCGATATTTAAATAATATAAAATAATATAAACATTATATTTATGCTTTCAGACACACGTACATTTGGATAAAAAAAATCTTATTAATAAATACGTCAGTGGGCGTTAACCCAATGGTACCAATCATTAAATTTTCATTTTGTATTTACGAAATTCGTGAGATACTCAGAATAAACAACTATTACTTCGTAGGTCTGAGTACTCAACTTACGTTCCCGACAAGGAACGCAGGTAAGATAAAGCTTAACCAATTGATATTTGTAATGGTGAAGTCTTGTGTTTTCTTCGCGGTACGGACTGAATTCTTAAATATTATTCAGCTCTAAACTGCTCTAAATACGTAATTAACTTACCAGACTTGAGGCTATTCGGTTCACGACCGAAAGGATGGTTCTTTATTTCACTGTACCAATTATCAACAGGCTCTCGTCCTGTTACGTGGTGGCTCGGATTGGAAGACCAACTGCAGAAGATATTCTCTCCACAGTCTGAATTCTGACGGTGTTCTAGATGTCCTCTTGAGGTGAGTCGTTCTGCCCACTCTTTGCTGTATCTGCACAGCTAAAATGTTGTTAGAAATTAGCAGGTTAAAGAGTCAACCAGTGGTAGGCTTTGCGTCTTTAAAATTCAGAACATTGAATTGAAATAAATTCTGCGATGACTGATTTTTTTAAAAAAGAAGCAATTCTTAACTTTTGTTAAATATCCTACTCATTATTTATTTTCTAAATCCAGTTTAAATCATTTGATTAAATGAATTAATTTCCCTGATGCCAGTGATGATGACGTCTTGTGGTTGAAACGCGTATGACAATAGTGTTTTTTTTTATAGTGTTAATAGTTGTTTGTTAGATTATTTTTATTCTCATAAGAGGAGTTAGTTAAAACTATTTCAACAGGATATATAAAGGCATCGTAAAATGAAAGTAATACGAACTTTTTTGTTGAGTTTTAAAGGTGGGACTCCATGTTTCTCTCGGTATTCATTGTGTGCCTTAAGACAGTCTACTGCAAAATCACCTTCAGTACCTGTTGTGTCATTATCTGGCTTTGATTTTATTTTGGTTAGACTGAATCTGCCTTCACTTTTCTATAAATAAAAAAGAAATTATTTTATTCATAACATTATGAAATGATTTAACATAAGTGTTTTATCATCCCTAATTTGTATTTATCACGCATCTGTTTCAAACGTGATTTGAGCTGAAATGGCTACTCTGACATTTTTATCATTATATAAGCCCATAACTTTTAAAGTCGAATTAAGTCACCCAAAATGTAAGAAAACCTATGATTCTAACTTACTTAAATATTATATGTGAAAGGACATGTTCTGACTTGAGGTGCGTGTCTCCAAATCATTATTGAATCATTTAATAACTCTTTAAATAATACTATAAACTTATCCTCAGCTTTTAGTATTTAAGTAAGCTTAGTGCTAAGGCACATCCAATTATTTCAAAGACCAAGACAACGCAGAATACAATTTACAGAAAATCTTTTGCGACGACTGAAATTGATGAACGACTCCCAGGTTACCAGCCGCGTCAGGTATCTGAATAGTGAATAAACCACATCTTCCGCCAACGTTTCAACAGCAATCTCTGCTCTCATCCTCAGGGCTGCTGCGTAACAAATCTGGTTCTTTGTGGTGCCCTCGCCGATGGGAGCTGACAGTCGAGGTCGAGTGCCACCAGTTCCCACTGGCGAGCGAGCTACAAAGGACCACATTTGTTACGCATCAGCCCTGAGGATGAGAGCAGAGACTGCTCTCGAAACGTTGGCAGAAGATGTGGTTTATTGACTATTCAGACACGTGACGCGGCTGGTAACCCAACACTCTCAAAGCTTGTTTTATTTGTTACGCAGAATTTACCATGGCCTTTCTTTAAAATCATTTAACCAGTTTTCCTGGAAGGATGAGGCATGACAAGTCAAATTGGGCAAGTCTTTCCTGTGAAACAGTAGTAGCAGCAGTCATTTGAAGTTACTTGGATACTAGGAACGATCCGTTCTTCAAGTGCCTGAGCACTGCGGGTCCCAACTTTACGTTGGCTCGATCTATAGACTCCTTGGACGAGGGATCGGCCCTTCGCCTGTACACAGGACAGCACAATACAGCATCCATGGCTTGAGTGGGATTCGAACCCACGGTCCCAGCGACCAAGAGGCACAAGGCCCGCGCCTCAGACCGCGCGGACCTCTGAAGTTACTGGGAATATAAAAAGTACTGTACTTATTTCAGTTTACATTTCAGAAAATGCCCAATTCCTTCAAATAAGTTGCTTGATATCATCTGCCGTCCATCGTATCTTTGTTCAGTGACGTCTTACCTGTTTCACCGTAGTAGATCTATCTGGTGACAAGCTTGGTGACCTGGATTTTGGTTTATCTTTTACCACTCCATTTCTAATTACATTATTTGTTATACCTGTAATTAATAAGGAACTTGTAGTACAATTCAGTTATGAGTAGTTAAGCTAAGCAAACCTTAAAGCTACTTACATTTCAATTAAATACCATGGATAAATTGACAGTAAGATTTTATCTATTATTTCTAAACCTTGACTCAAGAATTTAAAAACGAGTTTATGAATTTATAAACAGAAGCTGAGCAAACTCGTTTATTGTTTTATATATTAAATATACGTTTAGTGAATATCAAATATAATTACAGCACTAAGTGTTACCATTCTGTTCTTTCTGTAAGATGACCCGAAAATCTTCTGGCAGATTCTGAAATACGTCACGTTTCTCCGAAGTTGTCACCCGATCCGGTCGATTTCCTCGGTAAGTTTCCACGGTTTCTCGGGTGACAGTCTCAAACTTTGGCTCCTACAAAGATTTAGAATAGATTAGTATTGAAGTGTTCTTTACGTAAATTGACAAACGTTTAAACAATAAAGTGTGGTTTGGCAGTTGCCAAATTATTTATTTATTTATAGTTTATTTAATGACTACGTAGTGTCAAGCCAAACCATTGAAGTTTACTTTAATTTGTTTTTCATTTTTCTATCTAAAAATGTAAAGATTAAAATAAATTTTACAAAAATTCACATGTGTGGGTACGAAACCCGGTCTCTTAGATTAAGGAAAGAACACAGACTGAGGGTGTTTGAGAACAGCGTGCTGAGGAGAAGATCTGGACCAAAGGGAGAGAGAGAGATGAGGTGACAGGTGGATGGATTAACTGTAAAATGAAGATCTCCCTAATTAATACTCTTCACCAATTATTATTAATATCGTATCAAGGAGAATGAGATGAGCAGGGAATGTAGCACGAATTGTTTATGGTAAATGCATACAAAATTTTGGCTGGAAAACCTGAATGGGACAGACCACTTAGAAAGCCTAGGTATAGCTGATAATATTAAAATGGATATTAAGGAAATAAGATTGAAGGTTTGGATTGGATTGGATTCATCTGGTTCAGTAGAGGTACTCATGGAGCATGTACTATATATCCATACCGCCATATTTTCTGACGTAATTATTTGGATTCACAAGAAGATTGGAAATGTATACTCTGCGGAGTACACTAATATTTCAAAGGTGTTCCTTACGCCCACATCATGTGCAATGACGTCATAAGGGCAGCTATTGGAATAAAAATGCAATAACGGTATCGAAAGCCAGTTTTATCCAAGGTCATTTCGTAACACTTCGAACCAATGTCACCGTAGTAAAAATTCGATGAAATAAGCGACAGACAGACCTTAAGATGTTATTCGTTTACGCTGAAGTGAAAATAACAAACTAACTGTCGCTGTAGACATTAGAAATACGTATTCCTCATATACGCAAAGTTTGTTATTCGTTTACGCTGAAGTGAAAATACCAAATTAACTGTCGCTGTAAATATTACAAATGCGTATTTCTCATATACGCAAAGTTTTGACCGAAGATGGCTGCCTTCTGGGTTGCTGGACTGTGTAGTCTCATGACCTTGTTTCGTGCAGAACGCTTTGTGAATGACTCGCGTCTAGTTGTGAAGACTTTTAATAACATTAACAAAACAGAAGTCTTGAGCAGTTCTCTGCTGAAAATGTTATATTAGCGTGTGTTCTAAACTGGCCTTGTTTAACGGAGAATATAACATGATTAATTTAACCACGGTCTACCACCCATCCATGACATTGCTCGCACGTGTGATACCTAAATTCAAGGTCAGAAGTAAAACTTGTGGATGGGAAAACAATGGAAGTTCTGTACGTCTACTGTGTGGCCTAACAGGGATTTCTTGTTATGTAGGAGTAGGGTCGAACATTAACAGATACTACGTACTTTCTATGGATTTACTAATTAACCAGCCGTTTACATAAATATATCTTGCGACCACGTACGGAATTTAACAGGAAGGAAGGAGCTTAACATTTAGTTCTCCTCCAAAACACTGGCGTTGTGAGCGCTGCAGGTACGAGGCTCGGTTTGCGAACAGCTGAAGGTGGCACTGAGCTACGATCAAACTGCGTAGTTGGTAGAACTGGTCCTCAATGTTTCCGTTCCACATTTCAGGGTCGCGCTTATCAGTTTACCCCGCGTTTTCAAGGAAGTGCTCATCAGAATTGTTCTAAATTAATTTTAAAGGATCAGAATGTTGTGTTCAAGGCATATTAAGTAACAAATACACAGGTTAGTTGTGAGACTCATTCCCTATCTTTTAAATTCAGTTAGATGGGTAAAGTAAAGTGGACATGAAGGGACCAAGTTAGTTACTTCAGAATTTACATGCAACGGCGCAAAAATCCATTTCATAACAACTCAGCGTGGGAGGGAGACAGTATATTTTGTGGAATAGTTTTATTTTGGTTTAATTTTGATAATTTTAAGAACCACTTTACCTAAGCGACTAAATTAACTTGTACGTAGACATTTGTATTACCACGCGTAAGTCTCGTTCAACTTAGTTTAAGTTATACGAATTTTCACTTAGAAGTCTCTATGAACATATATTCTACTTTTGTCTATATATTTCAAGCACTTTTTATGGATTTTGAAATGTAGCACGCATGAAGATTTGAGAATTGCTTATAAAATTTTGGTCGGGAAGCCTGAAAGAAGGAGAAAGCTCGGAAGAACTAGGATAAGATGGGAGAGTAATATTAAATTGCATGATCTGTGTTTGTTTACAGCAACTGAAGAGGTGTCGGACCGCCTTGGAGGTACAAACCCAGACCCCCATCGGTCAGAATCAGCTCGGGGCATCTGCATGGTCCCAGATTTATATGTGATCGAAGAAAGTGGTGAGTACGCCATTGAGTACATCACAAGGTTCGATAAACGTTCTGTGCTCCTGTTATGTCAGATTTGAGGATGAAATTAGGATCGTCCACGCCTTTTTCGTAAAAACTCGCGCCAGTGTTAGCAAATACAACAAAAGTTACACGAAACGACTGTTAAATACTGCTTTCATCTTCAGCCCTGAAGATGGTGGCACTGTGTTATTGTGAAACGTTGGTACCCACGAACAAGACCACATGACGTCTCATCCCAGAATGTCACCATCGACTTCCGGTGTGCTTTATCCTTATATTTACGATAGCTAACGTGTTTAAATGATAGATACTTTCTGATTCGCACTAATTAATTATCCATCGTCAGCTTAGCTTCGCCATTATCTCAGTTAGAAAATGAATCATTAAACAATTAAAATATGTTTTGCTCCTGTCCTAGTAACGTACATGGTCATTGCGACTGGTTGGCGGAATGTAATTAGGTTACCGTATTTGCCTTTGTGTCGTAAATGTGTAACGTTCTTTTGTGCACTGAATAATTACGTTTCTTTTCATGGACCGTTAAATACGCAATTGGCAAACATTTAATTTGTAGAGCGAATCGTTCGTAGTGGCTCGGTTTTCGGTGCCTGGAGCACAATTCTCAGGTCATTCCAGTGGGTTGTTAACGCCGAAGAGAAATTTGTGAATGCGCCACAACACCCCCTCTCCCCGTCCGTCGTACCGTCTTAATTCAGTCACCTGAAAACTCCGTTCGTCACAGACTACACAAAAGTTATTTTCACCTGAACCAATTTCCTGCATCTCCCACAAAACGAGGACCTCGTACTTCGATTTATTCCCACGGGACAATCTC